CCCCCCCCCCCCCCCCACATAAACACATCAACACTATTTGGACACTGTTTTTTAGAGGCATTCCAAACTGTGTGAAAATCAACATTTCAGGAGAAAGACGGAAAGACAGAAATACAAAAGTATAATCTTCACATGCTAATCGAGGTCCTTGTTTTTCCATCTATACCAAAACACCGTTCTCATGTTTGCTGCTCCTGACCTTGTATGTCCTGGCAGGTACATAGAGCTGACCTGGAAGTACCCGACCCAAGGCCAGGCCGGTGACTACAAGTGTGAAGTAAATGCCATCGGCGATGGCGGCCATTTCGTCACGTTTTCAAACTCGTTGAAAATCAACGTCACCAAACCAGCTGATGATGACGTGGTGAGCATGCACAACATTACAGTTACACTGCTAGTAAACTTTAAAATTAAAACCACAACACTCAACAAAAATCACATATTATGTTGCATCCTTACTTGGGTCGTTAGTCCGTTCTCCTTACAGGTCGCAAGAAAGAAATTCATAGTTTCTAGCTATACAAAACCCATACCAACAGCAACATAAATTCTGAGAACAATTGCGAAGAGACACAGCTCATTTCTGACCACCACCAAAGAGTTTTGCTGACAAAGGATAGGATAATGAAGAGAAGAAGACAGAGTGGGTGCTTACGTACGCTTGCATGCGTTGACATAATAATTTATTTATGGTAATGCATGTTCGCACGTTCGATTTGTCAAGAAATATCTATAGGCAAGAAGAGGACTCTTCTAATGAGCATTACAAGTGCAGGTAAAAAAAGGAGAGAACGACTGACTGTTTCTTTTTAAACGTGTCTCGTCGATTGATGATACGCTGTTGTGCATTGCGTCGAAGCGTGAAAGAGGGAACAGCTTTGTTAAATCATTTCTAGTGTTACTCTGTACATTTTATCGGCCTAACGAACAGAATTCGCTGTGCATGTCAGGGCTGTAACTTAGTATCTGAGAAGTATAGGCTAAATTCTGTTATTCGGTTAATATAGAGCTCAACTCAAGTAACATCATATCTAACAACAGAGCTGTTGTCCTTCCTGTTAGTTCAGTTACGTATATTTCTTGAATCTCATAAGATAACGTTATTTTCACCAAGTATTTCAACTTCTGTGATAGAGTTAAAGTATGGTAGAAATGTGAAATTTTACAATGATGTATTCAGTGTGATTTCTTTTTCATACTTCAATTGTAAAAGCAGCATGTTGAAATTTTTTACTATACACATATAGTGGATTTTGCCCGAGAACACTCCGCGTATGAACCCGTTCCACCTAAAAACCCACTTTTCCATGTAACGGAATGTTCTCTATATAATTTGTACGCCTATGAACCATTTCTAAGAAACGAAATCCACCTAAAAGCCCAGGTTTAACTCAGCCAAGGCCAGACTATTATTGTCTGAACTTCCTACTTTCCTATACTTTGCCACAACTTATAACTGGTGGTCCCTTTCAATGAAGGAGATGGGAACAGTTTGATATGTATGTATGTATGTATGTATGTATGTATGTATGTATGTATGTATGTATGTATGTGTATGTATGTATGTATGTATGTATGTATGTATGTATGTGTGTGTGTGTATGTGTGTATGTATGTATGTATGTATGTGTGTGTGTGTGTGTGTGTGTGTGTGTGTGTGTGTGTGTATGTGTGTGTGTGTATGTATGTATGTATGTATGTATGTATGTATGTATGTATGTATGTATGTATGTATGTATGTATGTATGTATGTATGTATGTATGTATGTATGTATGTATGCATGTGTATGTGTGTGTGCGTGTGTGTGCATGTGTGCGTGTGTGTGTGTGTGTGTGTGTGTGTGTGTGTGTGTGTGTGTGTCTGTGTGTCTGTGTGTGTATGTGTAGGAAGGAAACATAATAGTAATAGTATACATTTTATGTAATCGCATATGTGTGGTTTAGTGTGTGCGACTGTGTATCTGTCTTTGTGCATGGATATGAAGAGAGAGTGAGAGAGAGAGAGAGAGAGAGAGAGAGAGAGAGAGAGAGACAGAGAGAGAGAGACAGACAGACAGACAGATAGACAGACAGACAGACAGACAGACAGACAGACAGACATACAAATAGATAGATAGATAGATAGATAGATAGATAGATAGATAGATAGATAGATAGATACTTAAATTAGTTTTTTACAAACAAAATTATTTCTTTGTACCAACACAGATAAATCAGCTGGACTTCACAATCATCATGGTGCAACGGCTGGCAAACGAGGTAGCCGAAATGAAGTCGAGTTTGACAAACTTCTCAGCCTTACAACACGTAGAAGCCGGGACTCTTGAGTGCCAGTACGATCACTCCGACTACTACAGCAACAACTATAACCTGACGCAGCTGTTTCAGAACCCTTATGAGAAACCTCCAGTGGTCACTTTGGGGGTGACTGGGGCAGAATTCGGAACTATATATAGAAATGCTCAATTTGATGTTTCTCTTGTGAACGTCGACGAGCTAAGCTTTACGGTGCAATGCGGCAAGGACATTGGCTACAATTCCTATAATATGTCAGTCACCTGGATGAGTGTTTAGAAATTGTGGTGTCCTATGGACAGGGAAGTGAAGGGACAGGGAAGTGAAGCAAGATTTGCCAACGAAATAAACCCCACTCAGTCCGTCCTTGTGATGACCTATCACGTCACGGTAATGAGTTAAGGAGACATCCGATGCTTAGAGAAGGTCAATAAAACTGTTAGTCCAGTGACTAGAGAATGAAATCATCGTATTTAGTTACATGAGCCAGTCAACATGAAACACACACACACACACACACACACACACACACACACACACACACACACACATACAAACACACACACACACACACACACACACACATACATACATACATGTTATTTTATATATTATTATATATGTTCGCTCGTATATTGAGGTGCATCAAGATTGGTGGAATGGACTTATATTGAATATCAAATGGAAATTAGAATATTATTGTATCTGCAATGAACAGCATCTTACGAAGACGCTTTCAAACAAATTGGAAAATGGAGCTGTTGCAAATAAATACCACGCAAAACCTGGACTTAGTAGTTATATGTGTTTATTAGTTTTAGTTTTGTTTTTCTTCAAGAGCTATTGGATATATATATATATGTGTGTGTGTGTGTGTGTGTGTGTGTGTGTGTGTGTGTGTGTGTGTGTGTGTGTGTATGTGTTTGTGAGTGAGTGTGTGTGTATGTGTGTGTGTTCGTGTGTGTGTTTGTGTGTGTGTGTGTGTGTGTGTGTGTGTGTGTGTGTGTGTGTGTGCTTCTCTGAGTAGGATTGTGTGTGAGATGTAGAAATGATTTGATGAAAGGAAGAAAGGCAAAAAAGAGGGGGTGGGGGTACATAAAAACCGGAAGTTTCAGGACTTACTTGGGAGTACAATTCTCTTTGTCTAATCTGACACGAAAGGAAATATTAAGTCTTTCCTTGTTCAGACGTATATTATTTCCACAGAGAATGTCACACAATTTTTTTACAAAGAAGATCTGCTTTTCCAGGTAACTAATAACATGTATTTTTAAAATCAAATCGGGGCTCTTGTAGCCTAGAGGTTAAGGTGTTGGCGTCTCTTTCAAAGGTCCCGGGTTCGAATCCGGGTAGCGACCGAAACATTTTCTTCTCTAAAATTGTCTCCTTTCACCTCCTTTCCTGCTCTCTTGCAATGTTCTGTTGTCTGCTTTCATTTCCACTTTCTGCCCCCCACCCCCTCACCTCCTTTGCCCCCTCCTTTGGGCTCCTGACTCTTTCTGCAGCCTTTCTACTGCTACTCCTTGGCTCCTCCTTTGCTGTCTTTCTGCCACACCCCTGATCTTCTGGTAAGAAAGTTCTACACCTAGCCTTCTCGGACAAGGGCAAAAACCTCAGAGGGCCCGTGTGCAAGTTGCGCACGTTAAAGATCCATTGGTGGTTTAAAATCGATAAGAGTAGGCTTCGGCCGCCACCCGGGCAAAATTCAAAATTTCCTACCAACTGAAAAATATTAGGTGTGTCCCCCGCACTCATATGACCTTATGCAGTGCGAGCGCCGTAAAACACTTTACAAAAACAAACAAAACAAAATCAAATCAAATTTGCCAAGTAAATATGACATTGCAATCTCTTAAGTTTTCATTTTAAAAAATTCCACTTAAGCACTCAACTGATAACCTGAGCATACAAGTGTGAATTTTTTTTGTGTGTGTGTACTTTGTCCTGAAACTGTTATGTCGCTAATGGACCTCATTCCAGCCATGAATTATCAGGGGAATTAAAAAAGAAAACTCCGAAATCATAATGCAATATTTCAAAAATGAAAAACAATAAGAAACTATAGCTTGGATTCTTGAGTTGTACATGCCTTCAAATTGTTATTTGTTTTACAAGTACCGAATGTGGCCACCAACAGCAACACAGACAACATCAAACCAATATATTAAGAGAATTCCTCCCAAACGCGCATCAGGATATTATATTGGTCCAACATGTTGATTGTAGCTGTTATTTGATCTTTCATATCATCGGTAGTTGCTGAAAGCGTGGAACATAAGCTTCGTCTTTAACATACCCCCACAAGAAAGAGTCACACACAATGAGGTCCAATGATCTGGCGGGCCAAGTGCAGAGAGCGAGGTCTTTAGCACCTCTCCTACTAATTCACTGCTAGAACACGTTTTCATTCAGGTAAGCTTGAACCCGAGATGCCAATGGAGCGGTGCTGCTTCTTGTTGAAAAATTAAGTCATTCTCATCTGTGCGCACTAAAGGGAATAGCCAGTTCTTGTGGGGGTATGTAAAAGACAAA